CACTGGGAGCTGAACAGCTCCAAATCGGATCAGGGAGGATCCGCCAAGATGGGAAAGAGGTCTGGGTCTGCCCTTCAGTCCTTACAGGACGGAAAATCTCTGGTATGTAAAAAGCCTTACAATACTTGCAATATGCAATTTTACCTGGACAGTGGTGCCTCAGACCATATGTGTGGATGTATCGAGTGCCTGTCGGACTACTCGACAGCGTCACAAAAGCAGCGCGTTGAATGTGCTGGAAATCAAGTTCTATTCATTGAGGGTTGCGGGAACTTGCTGACGAACCCTGACCAACACAACGGCCTGACTAAAATCCATAACATTAATTACGTGCCAGGTTTGACCTCAAACTTATTGTCAATCAGTAAGCTAGCTGAGAATGGTCTTGCTATTGTTTTCATTGGTGACCAGTGTGGAGTTTACCATGGAAGTGAAGTTAAACTTCTTGGTGAACCCCTGCTGAAAACCACGGAGACAAATGGAACTTACCAGTTAAATTTGGAAGTGAGAGAACACAAGCAGACCACTCTGGCACTTAAGGCAAAGGAAGCTGAGATACAGCCTTGGCACGAAAGGTTAGGACACCTTGGAACAAATAATATGGGCCTTATCCAGGGTATGGTGAGTGGCATGGGAGAAGTCAGCAAGGCCAAAATGAAGTGCTCCACATGTCAAAGAGCGAAAACTGTCAAGGGTCCCTTCCCTAAGGGGGGATCCCGGAGGGCATCCATGTTATTGGAAATAATTCACTCTGATGTGTGTGAAGTCACGGATGGCATTTCCCTACAAGGTTTCAAATATTTCGTAACCTTTATTGATGATTTAACCAGATACACATACATTGGTCTGTTGAGAAACAAGAGTAACGTATTTGATAAATTCAATCAATACAAAACTCTAGTTGAAAGGCACACTGGAAATAATATTAAATATTTGAGGTCTGACAATGGAGGTGAATATGTTAATGAGAAATTCAAGCAGTATTTTATGAAAGAGGGTGTGCTAAGTCAATACTCTGTTGCTAGAAATCCACAACAGAATGGGGTAGCTGAAAGAGCAAACAGAACTTTATTAGAGAAAGTAAGAGCAATGCTCAAAGGTGCAGGTTTGCACCCAAAGTTCTGGCACCTCGCTTTAAATGCTGCTGTTTTCCTCAAAAACATATCCCCCACCAAAGCAGTCAAAGGTGTAGTACCATATGAAGCCTGGACAGGTGTGAAACCTGATGTTAGCATTTTGAGAGTTTTTGGGTGCCTGGCCAGCGCTCATGTATACTCAGGCAAAAAGCTATCAGACAGGATCAAGGACTACATCTTCGTCGGCTATGATGAGGAACGCAAAGCTTATAAACTATTGGATCCTATAACAAATGCAGTTACCTCACATAGATACACCGACGTCACATTTAATGAGAAAATTTTCCCAGCTAAAGACCCGGGGGCTGAGCGCTCATTAAAAGTACCCTCGGGCACCTCTCAAAGGGTGACTACCCTAGCTATCCCTAACTATAGTGCTGGTTTCTCAGTGACAGAGACTGCTGACCTCAGGAGGGTGTCTGAAGATGTCGATGTGACATCTGACACTGATGATTCACATTCTGAATCAGGGAATGAAACTGACTCGGAGTCTGGCTCTGAGTACGATTCCGATTCCGATTCTGAATCTGAACAAAATTCTGGAAATAATAGTAACTCTGGAAAGAAAGGAGATTCTCTCTGGGGCTACTATACTGACACAAGCCTGTCAGGAATGTTCCATGACGGGGCCAGCACTAGTGGGTCAGAGAGACCCTCCTCTAGTCTGGACTCGGATGGCGACATTTCAGTAGGCGTGGAAGAAAATAATGTTAGGCAAACTAATCAACCCATTTCCAGGAAAAGGTGTGTAGTACCACCAAAACGTTATGATGGTTTTGTGCTCTATGGCTTTGGAGAGAAAGATGCAGAGATTTATGACAAAAACCTTGCTGATCATGCTAAGAAAAGGATGTCTTACACGAGATATGCTTGGTTTGCATCTAAAGCCGTGGGCACTTTGCCAAATTCCTATGAGGAGGCAATTCAGTCTCCTGAGTCAGCCTTCTGGCTGGCAGCCATCAGGGATGAACTGGAATCCTTCAAATCTAATAATGTTTGGACATTGGAGACCCTGCCCCAGGGTGCTCATGTGGTTGGTAATAAGTGGGTATTTAAGAAAAAGATAAATTCAGATGGCAGCCCTTTGTTCAGGGCAAGACTGGTGGCAAAAGGTTACACTCAACAATATGGAGTTGACTATTTTGATACATTTGCACCAGTGGTGAGAAAGGAGTCTCTGAGAATTTTATTCTCGGTTGCTGTCAATTTTAATTTAAAAATTGCCCACTTAGACGTTAAAACTGCATTCCTACATGGAGATCTTTCTGAGAAAGTGTTTATGGCACAACCTGATGCTCCATCTGATTTTAAAATTCCAGGCGCTGAACAGCTAGTGTGCAGATTGAGGAAGGCTGTCTACGGACTGAAACAAGCAGCAAGAAGCTGGTATCAGAAAGCAGACAACCTACTCAAGAAGGAAGGATTCCGGAACTCCAAGCAAGAACCATGCATCTACATCAGGACCAAGCCTACGGTAACAATAGTTGCCCTTTATGTGGATGATTTTTACCTTTTCTATAATGATGAGGCACAAAAATCAAACCTACTGAAGGCTCTTAGTGCTGTAGTTACTATAAAGGATCTGGGGGAAGCCAAGAACTGCTTAGGTATGAGAATAGAGAGAGATTTGGAGAAAGGTACCCTGAGACTCCACCAGGAGGAGTACCTGGAGTCTGTGCTGAGAAGGTTCAGCATGGACGGATGCAAAGGAAAGCAAGTTCCTTTGGAGTCTAAGTTAAAAATGTTTAATCTTGAGCAGGGATACCAAGGGAAATTCGATTATCAGCAGCTCATTGGCAGCCTCCTGTATCTTAGTACAAATACAAGGCCAGATATTGCTTATGCTGTGAGCTTTCTCAGTCAGTTCAATTGTTGCTACACTAGTACTCACTGGGAACTAGCTAAAAATGTATTAAGTTACTTAAAACAGCATTCGAAATTGGGTCTGAATTTCAAAAGGTGCAGCAATCCATCTCTCTCAATTGTCGGGTACTCGGATGCAGACTGGGCAGGAAATCCAACAGACTACAAATCCTACACTGGATATTGCTTTACCCTCGATGGAAATTTAATATCATGGGAGAGTAGAAAGCAGAGGACTGCTGCCCAGTCCACAACTGAGTCCGAAACATTGGCATTGGGAGAGGCAGTCAAAGAGTCTTTGTATTTAAATGTATTCATTGACAAATTATTTAACCATGGCAGGCAAATGATCCAAATGTTTTGTGATAATGCTTCAGTGATTCGTCTGTCAGAATCAGACAATTATTACAGAGCCAGATCGAAACATTATGGATGCAAAGTTCAACTCTTCAGAGATTGTGTCGAAGATAAATCCATATGTTTGACCTATGTCAAGTCTGCGGAGAATCCTGCTGACATTTTCACCAAGGCTTTGGATCGTACTAAACACACAATAGGATGCAGAAATTTAAACTTGTTTTCCATGTAGATACAGGTGCATTGTAATTGCTTGGTGGATCTTCAATACTAAATCATGGTGTATATATTGTAAAATATGTATTTATTTTATTGTTATTTAATATGTATTTATTTCAGTTAATCAATACTACTCTGGAACAGGTTTTTGGACCCACTGGGTTTTCCCTGTTCCCTAGCCAAATGGAGAGGGTATTTGCTGTGGCTTATTTTTCTTTTAAAATTGCGTGGTTGAGAGTTGTTTGTAATTTTTGGTGTGAAGTTCAGTCGTTAAATTGTTAATTGTCTTTTGAGATTCCGCATTAAGGGGGGATGTTGTAAATAATTAATGCTTCCATCTCTATTGTACATTCACCACCCAATAGACTGACTTCTACATTCACTTGTCTGCGACACCAGCGCCATCCTGTGGACAATCAATAAACTCTCTCGCCACTCGGTCACTACGAGTTTGGCCAGCCCAGCGTAAACAAGTGGTTGTTTTTATCCTTCTCCATCGTTCAACCTTCACATGAGTATTCACTGAAAACACTAGATTCGGAACACACATATACTTTACAACAACATATAGGCTGCTTTGCTGATGTCCAAGTCAGGTCACCTCCAGGCCGATCTTCCTGCGACAAACCAAAGACGCAATTTTATAGTCGAAGAAACAGGATGGAAAAGAGGCAGAAAGCACGCAATTTCGACAGAGGAGGTCAAAGGCGACTCTGCTAGACCAATTCCAATCATTTCCAGCGATTTTTATTTTTTTCATTTTTGGCCAAATTTACAAAGGCTATAGCCTTCCCAATTTTCGCAGAAAGGGGTGGGGCCGGATTTCGACGGAAAAGTAGTCGAACCGACAGGGGTGAACCAGGGAACCACAAAACTACTTTTGTTTCCGCCAGAAACCACCCCTGTCCAGACACACTTGAGTTTTGAAAATAAATACCAAAATAAACTCTTACCCAACGTGACTCATACATTACATATAAAGTCAAAACTTACCAGATTCATTTCTGTGATCATGAGAGAAGAAGGGTCCATTTCTCATGCTGTGTGCTGTGATGCCGAGTCAGCATGACAGCTGACGGCTGCATAGCTGATATGTCAAGCGCAGATGCAACTCATGGACGGTCTTCCTGCAACAAGGGTAAAAACAGAATTTTGGTCTACATATCATGGTTACACCAACTCCTCTACAGGGAGCTTCATAATATTAACTTGCCATGCTTCAAAAGCATTGCCTAGGACAAACAATGTCAACTCAACGTCAAACGCTCACAGGTGGAATACATAAATATTCATGCACTTTTCACTCTGTTTCCATATAACTATTTACTTTACATTTTTATCAATTATTCAAGGACTGAAGAGAAAAAGAGCATTCAGTTGGCATGAACTAGAACATTTCTGCCTGTCATTGAGCAGAAAAAAGTGCAAAATCAATGAGGAGATTAAAGAAAAATATGAACACATCATAATTAACATTTGAAAGATTTCATGAAAATAAATAAAGTGTAACTTTTTTGTAAGCCCTCGTTTCTTCCAGTCCTGCTTCATGGTATCCTCCACTCTCTTTCGCAATCCTTGGTGCAGCAGAAAGGTTAAAGACATGAGGGATCTCAGAGGCTTCAAAATTTATTCTGAATGTAAACAAAAAATTAGAATCCCACTTGAAGGACAAAAAAATTTGGGGACGATATTTGAGATTAATAGCAGTTATTCCTTAAGGACAGAAAATGAACAAACTGGCGCTCTTTTCTATTTTAAAAATATCCTCACATTACTACTGAGTATTATTTCCCTCCATACCCGCAGGAGGAGAGTCATGAACTAGAGTTGTGAGGGTGACGGAATGAGGAGCGGGGGGCTACAATTACTCTCAATAGCCTTAGTTACATTCACTGCACCAACTTAATGAAAAATATCAATCAATTTGTCATTTGAGGCCATTTGAGGCTTTCATAACTCGTTCTTTACCAGCCCACTTCACCTACTTGGTGGTAGGAAGAACAAGTATTGATCTCAGTGCAGTGTCACCCTACTGTTTGTACTTTCATCTATAGGAACACATACCACCTACAGACATGATAGTAGTACGATTGTAGACATCAAAAACCAACAGCCCGATAAAAGTGAAACAGCAGAAACTTTAGGCAATCATTTAAATATGCCTTAGAGAAGTGTCAAAAAAGTTTGGCACAAGGTAGTAAGTTCAAAATGAGGTTATCTAGATAAGTTTGTGAATGAGACTTATCACGTTTGCGTTCTTAGGTGTTTACGCATAGATAGAGGTGTCTTTATGACACTATATTGACGAATGTATAATTTGCAAAGACGAACCAGAACCAAAATAAAATAACAACAGTAGTGTCTTACCTCCGCGAAGTCGAAACAACCACAAGCCTAACGAAACGAACTCTTCACGCAGCAAAAAACACTCTAGTCCGTAGTAGTCTCGTTGCAGGGTATGTGTGCGTCCATCCACGAATGCTGGCGAGAGCAGGGCTAGCAGGGGGTATCGCCGCTCAGGCGCTAGGGTAGGCCATTATCTCCACACAGACATTTGGCGGGATGGCCTACCCGAAGCGCCGCAGGCGTTGTCATTCGGAATCGACAAAAAAGGCTTTTGGACTTGCATTACCCAACATTGTTTCTATGAAACAAATTAAATGGATGTTACAGAGATTTATCTGGCTGAGTTATTTTTATTGCCCAATTTGAGCATGGCACACAATAGATAGTTCCCGCTGTGCGCGTTTCGAGAAAAAGTAAGGAAGTGTGGACCGAAACCAGTACCTTAGGTTCACTGATTTTGAAAATTGGCAGGGCAGTTCGACGTAAATGACCTAAAGTAACACCCTTTTTTATTTTTAAAAATAAAAGATCATCAATATTTTTGGTGTAAATTTTAGAATATTTACAGCGGGGTAAATTGAGGCATCGGAAAACTGCCGTAGGTTCTAAAACACCTCTGTCGTGAAAAGTAACTTTAGATGGCGAACAAAGATTGGTGCCGGCTCGGGTGCCGGAGAGAAAATCATTCAAGCTTACTCAAAGGGACTTTACAATAAATTAAAATAACTGGACCACCGGTAATCACTGTGACGCCAACTCGCCACTGGGACGTAAAATAATTGTCCGGGTGGGGGGAGAAAGGCGACTGTGTCGCGACAAATAGAACCGACTGTCGACATAAGTCCGCTCGGCGTCGGAAACGCTCATGCCGGACAAAAATAAAAATATTAAAATAAGGGAGTACTTTCCTCATCCCACCGCATGTCGTTGGCGACTTCTGTTATCGCGGGAACAGCCGCTTCCAACCGCAGTGGTCAGACGGTTGACGCGTACATTGGTTAAAATGTACTGACCCCCGTAGGCCAATGAGCTCCTTTAAAGCCAGATTCTAGGTCTTGTTATACACCCGCTACCACAGCAAGGTGCCAGGCATCGGCGAACTCTCACTGCCCGCTATCGCTGTGAGTGGAACCCCGGCCCAGTGCCGACTCATATGCCACCCTCGACGTAGTGCCACCAAGGACGGTAACCATCACTATGCCGTCGGAACTCCACGAGAAAGACGTGGTGAAATTACGGGTTTGAAGTCCATTTGAAATTTGGTGGCTACATTTAAAGAATACATAAGTAACTTTAAGGTATCAGCTAGCTACAACTCTCGATCAGCAGGAGAGAGAACTAAGAGCTAAACCAGAAATTAATTTTTGTGCGCTGGGGAAATGGTGTCCGAGTGAGTGTCGCGCTAGGCCCCTTCCTTTGCCCTCCCTAACAATAACTGCGCAGGGTGGGCCCGTGGGCTCCTTTACCTTCCCTGCCCAACAATACGGCGTCGGCGTCGGTCGCCCTGCCCTCCCCGAATGTCCTTCTCTACGCCAGTTTTGTGGTACACTGGGTCACCCCTATCGATTCGACTACTTTTCCGTCGAGATCCGGACCCATCAATTTTCACTAAAAATAGGAAGGCTATTTATTATAGCCGTTGTAAATTTGGCCAAAAATGAAAAAAAATATCGATGGAAATGGTTGGGATTGGCCCGAGAGCACCTTCTTTTAATCTCTCCGTCGAAAATTCACGCCGCGGGGCCATTTTAAGTGAGTTACGCCTGTTTTCCTTGGACCGGCTCGCCTGCTAGGTAGGCATACCATTGTACGCTGCCCGCCAGATTCAAAAGACCACCTCTTAAAACCCAAGTTTCTGTGGGTTTTTACGAGAATCTCGTTATAAAAAGAAACAATCTTCTATTTAAACATGAATATATTAAATAATTCAATGGAAAGGTTTTTACAATCAGGTATGGCAAGATACAAAAAATAATCCGTGAATAACAGTGGATCAGAAGCAATGATCATAGGATAAACGGAATAACGTTTCTTTAGAAAAAGGCATGGCCACCCAGTATTTAGATTACGTCATCCAAAAGAAGATCCGGTGACGGAATTGAACACTTGTCTTGGGCAATGCCAGACAGGGGTGTCAGTGACGGCATTTGTGAGCGACTGAGAGGTGCTGCGTACTGTTGCAATACGTCCCTAGAAGCGTCTTGCAAGGACGCGTCTAGTCATGTGCTTCAATTACCCGTAGCACCTCTCAGTCGCTCACAAATGCCGTCACTGACGGATATTTTTTGCCTTTTTTTCTGGAATTGCCCATTATTATATAGACCCTTCTTTTATTTCGCCTTTACTGTACCGCATGCGGGCGGGGGGGTTACCTACCCTCGCTCACCACGAAGCCTTACGGCCCCGTGCGAGTACCCTCCACGCGGACACGAGATCAAATTTTCTACTGTATAAGAAACATTGCATCTCTCTTTTGGACGACAGTAAAATTTGTACAATGTAACGCAAGCAGGTGTGCAGGTACTAGGGTTTTCCTACCCTCACTGTAAAAAACATCGCCGTAAATTTTCAACTTTTTTGTAAACTCGAATTAAAATTTGGGTTGTTAATTTACGAAAGCACAACCTCCCTACTATTTTTCACAGTCCTCGCTCAACACGGCGCCTTACGGGTCCGTGCGAGTATGCAACCCACCCACACCTCTGCATGCGGTACAGCGAGCAAAAGAAAGGGAGCGATATGACGTTGCAGAAGAAATCAATTGTTGAAACCATGCAACAAAAAAGGAAATGTGGTGATCTATGTTGGTAACTAAACAATAACTGCGTGAAACAAAAACAATGCACTGTATTAAAATACTATCCGAAAAATACAAAGACATCAATGCAATGAGTTTGAAGTTACTAAGTATTGAAAATATCCGCACAAATCAATGCTTAAAAGATATTGAGTTTATGAATTTAAGCTAAAGAATTTTTGGCAGTGAGGCAGTGCTTAACATCACAGTCAAAAATTTAACTTTACATTATTTCTGTCATAGAGCAGAAGAAATCATGAGTTCAGTGACTTGTTACGATAAGGCAACACTAATCTCTATAGTTTTTAGCATCACATCACGAATGCATCGCACCACAGTCGTTTGAGAACTTTTTAGGACACTACTTATAAAATGTGATAAAGGCAGATGATTTACCCGGATCAACGATGGAAAAGAACACAGTGGAAATCTTGCGAAAGTACAGTATGTGCTAATATACACTTGGCCAAAAAAGTTATTGGGCATTAAAGTTAGTCAAAAAAAGGATTTACACATATGATAGAGTTTAATAATGGTATCCCTTAGACCCAATACTTTCATGGGAATGTGCACTTGATGCAACGCTTTAAGACGTCGTGCTGTCTTTAGCCAGAGAAAGAAAACCCCTCTTCACAATAAGTCATTTATCTTTCGAAATATACGAAACAAACACACGTAAGGTCCCATTCCAATTACACTGTTAACGCCGTGGTCACCTAGCTTGCCAAAATGTTGGCAATACTTTTTGATTGCCAAATTTTGGCTTCCTTTTGAAAGAAGGTCAACTTTTGGCGAGCAAAGAGGGCAAAATTGGCAGCCACCAAAAGACGAACAAAATTTGGCAATCAAAAAGGACTGCCAACATCTTGGAAAGCTAGGCGACTACAGCGTTAACAGTGTACTGGAGCCTTTCAAGGTGTACATGTGAAATTTTGTGTGAAGCCACTGGACACATTATTTGTGTAACACTTCGAAAACATCGGCACCCAAAGTATGGCTTCTTTGTCAGATTGGTAAGTTAGCGAGAGACACAAATAATCTTTGTTACTTGTATTACATCTTTGACCGCCAAAATGATCGCACTGGTCGAACAGCAAATAACGCAATCCTCGGAAATCACACTTTTCTCGTCAAAATAATGACTATTGATCTGACAAGGTGATGCCAGATCCATCTTTTGGATGAAGCTGTGTGATTGTGAAATTCAATTTTATAGTAACCAGTCTTCAAATGTTAATAACAAATGAGAATAAGGTCAAATAAACAGGTCAATCATTGAAAACAAATTTAAGAAGCTGTAAACATTTATCAAAGTTTTTACTATATCAGATGTCATATAGAAGTAAAGAAAATACTGCATTTACATTCAGCACAGAACCATTACAGCACTTGGATTGCAAACTGTTCGGCAAAAAAGTCGCATGTTATAAAACAAGAAGACAAAAAAAAAATGAAATAAAATAATAATGAGAGTTTACTTTTATGGCGGGTTTACGATGGAGTTGGTGATTTCGGAACAGAACGACATTTTAGCAGAACAGAACAAATTTTTCGGGTAGGGAACGAAGAGGTGTTTACGATGTTTCAGTAACGGAACAAAACTAATGTGCGTTCCGTGCAGTTCCGATTCGCTCCGTTAGGCACAAATTTCGTTCTGTTCCGAAAAAGCTCCATAGTAAACCCGGCATTAGGGACGCGAGCCCAGCTCAGTTAAAATAGTTCTAATCCAACATTCACACACCAGCTATAAGAGAAGGTTGAAATTTAATGCTTTATAACTTGTTCATTGAAAATGTAAGAAAATAGCATATGCAATTATATCAAACGGTCGGTGATGAAACGACCAGAACACTCTCTCACACATGTTTTACGGCATCAAGAATAATAAGTGACGCGTAAGTTAAAACTTTGCGAAGAGATTTGGAAAGATTAAATGTAGTTACAAAGAAATGGGTTCACAATGGCTGGTATTATACCAGCGTGTGATTACGAGTATGTAATTTGTGGCTAAGATAGAATCTAAGCTCTAAATGACTCAATTTGGAGTGTTTTACAATGCCCATCACATGTCAAAAACAAAAACAAAAACTTTCTGCTAACTGTTAATATTTAACCCTTTTAAAACTAGTCAAATTTGTTTCAAGGGGAAGCTTTTCGAATTGTGACATGCATTGTAATACACAATAGAATAATTTGCACAAAAAATACACAGAGAAAAAACTTTGCTCACAAATATACAATACATATTATTTACGTTTTGAATCACATATACGGAAACTAAACCAGTCCACCCAAAAATACAAATTCACTTTAACAAGCAGCAGCACGCGTTATTAACCGCAATCAAATGAACACAACACTTATATACACAAAATGTATAAAATAAAATGTCTTAACTTTAAAAATGGTTAAAAATGGTTGCATTGGTCAGAAGAATAGTTCAGGGCGATGGTAACTTGAAATTCACAGCACGGTTCATCAGTACTACTTCGCTCCCGGAACTTTGCTTAATACCTGAAAGAAGCAGAGAACAGACCAGTTAGCCATGTTATATTAGAAAAACAGATGAGGATTTCGGTGTTTCTAACATACTTTGGAGAGATCAACGCCAGTTAAGGCGTTGATCGCTGGCGGAATTTGTCCAACCAATCTGGCAACTTCAGACGTTGTGCTATCGTTACCCCCTATTAATACAATCTCATCAGTCTTCGCCAACGGGGCAGCAACTTCGGCAGCAATCTGTAACCAACGCAAAAACGTTAAGAAGTGCAGGAAGACACACATCAAAAAAATATGGAGATGAGACATTTAGCACCTTTGGTAAAGCTTCCAGGACAATTGACATGATGGCGGCGTCGCCGTACTGCTTGTAGACAGCAGCTTTGGCGCGCATTCTTTCGGCCTCCGCCTTGCCGACGACCTCGATGGAGTAGGCCTCGGCCGCCCCAATCTTCTTCGTCTTCTCGGCCTCGGCGCGCGCCACCTCGACAGTTTGCGTTCTGCAAAATGAGAGTAACACCACATTGTCAGAAAATTTGAACCAAATATTCTCGACACGGACACGCACTCTCAGTTCCGTACGGACTCGCTAGTGGACAATTGTGTGCAAGTGTAATACGAATCATAAGCCATCCGTAATACAGCTGAAAACGTTACAGGTGAAAATGTGTCCGTTAATATTCAGTATGTCCATTGAAAGATGCGTTTTTGCACATCGTAACGAAATGCAATATTATGTCCCAAATGACGAATTTGCAACTGTATCATAGACACAACTAAAAGTTTTGTACATTGCGAGGATGCAAATTTTTCACTGGCAAGACTCAGAAGTGCATTTGCATCAGGCTAAAATGTTCCTCAAAATGCATCTTTATAGTGACGAAAAAAATCCTTAAGATTTACTTTGTACGCTAAAGAAAAAATGCATCTTCTTCGGGGCAAAGAAAAGCCCTTCGCATATTATGTGTACATTAAATTCTATACTCTTATTTTTAATCTACTCGACTCTATGTATCTTTCACTTATACCCTGTCACTGTTTAAAACTACACACCAAATAAAAACAACTCTTGTTAAGATTGCTCATTTTTAATATTTTTTTATAAACTTGGTGCAGTATTTCTCATTTTCTTGTCATTTGATTTACTTTGCTGCTATTAAAAGAAGAAACGTAACTGTATGTACAGAACTATGTTTTTTAGTGAAGTATCACACAGGACTGAAAATGGCATAAAACAGGTATTTCAAGTTTAAAATCTAAATGCGAATTAAATCAAAAATACGTACTCCAAAGCAATTTAAGTTAGTTCATTGCGGTTCTTTTAAGGTATAGTATGCCCATGGTTTTACGTGACTGTGTGCACAAGAAGCTTTTCAAAGTTATGAAATTTTAAAAAGCTTCTTGCGCCACTTATTGCGCACACAGGGGCGTTTAACTAGAGTCTTACTATATCTTAAAAGAACCGCAATGATCTAACTAAAATCGCTTTGGAGAGCTATTTTTTGATTTGAAATAGCTTTTTTTTTTGCCTAAATTTTTAAGTTTCAGTCCTGTGTCTCCTTAAGCTACAATTATTTGAACTGATTTGAACCATATCGCAGTGTGCCATCAAAGCAAGAGTTGTTTTCTGTTTTTGTTTTCAATAGGCGGGTATTTGTGAGATGTCAACGGGAATCGATGCCTTAAATTTAAAGTTGATGGTGCACGCCAGCTTACCGCTTGCCCTCAGCGACGGTCTGAAGTCGGTAACTTTCTGCCTCCGCTGGCAGCCGCACAGTTGCGTTCAACTCTCTCTCTTTTCTCTGCACTTCTTGCTCTTCTATCTCGATCTGCTTGCGCCGTTCAACTACGTCGATTTGAATTTCCTCGTTTCGGATTTTCTGTCGAATTTTCGCTGCTTGGAGCTCATAGGCTAGCTGGGATTCTGCTTTCTGGAAAAGAAACATAGATTTCATACCGAGGATCAAATATAACTCTGAATAGTTAATTATATTTTGAAGACAATTACCGCTGTGTTAATCTCCTTGTCAAAGAGGGCCTTTTGCAATTTATACATTCGAGAGTTGTCCTCCACTTTCGTGTCCGTATTGTACTTGATGTCCATGGCCGACTTCTCACACTCAGCTTCCTGAAATCAAACAATTGCCAACCCTTGACTTTACTTGCTATTTAAACATAGTTCTCTCCTAGCATTCTGCAAACCTTTCTGTGAGACGGTTTCAAACCTGCTGGAGGTGCAGCAACATGGTTTCCTACACATTATACACTAATACACGAAGTTTGCAAACTGCTTCACACTTTTCAGTGTGACACACTGGTAAAACAAGTGTGCAAAATTAGCACACCAGCGACCAGCGTGTGCGTAAATCTTAATAAATCCTTCATGAATTTACAACATAATTTTTTATTCACTGTTTACAGCATATTTAGTAAATTTACAACACACCATTCTCGAAGAATTATAAGTCGATCCGTACTGCTTGTAATTTGACGGTTACGAACTGTGAGTTTACGGCACGTTAAATGGAAATTTTTCCTGTTTAGCCTGGGACTATTTTCCACAGTGGATTATCTTTAGAAAAGCGTTAGACGAAAGTCTTACCCTGATGCCGGCATCCCTGTTAGCCTGTGCGACTCCGACATCGGCGTCCCGTTTAACAGCGGCAGTCTGCGCCTTGCCCAGTGAGGCGAGGTACTGCACGTCGTCGTAGACATCCTTGATGGTGAAGGACAAGATCTCTATTCCCATGCGGCCCACATCAGGTGCTGCCACCTCGCGGACGAGTGCCGCGAACTGGTCTCGATCCTTGTACACCTCTTCGACTGTAAGCGTTCCTGCAACACACAAAATATACACAAAATTTCAGTACAGGCAGGAAATGAGAACGATCACTGGCTTCTGACGCGACGTATCGTCTGAAGAACAGTACCATGACCACAAAGTGGCTTAGCGTAGTCAATGTGCGACCGAGACACGGCTTATGGACGGAAGACTCAATAAGTTCAACACCCATAAAGAACGAAGGGTGAACAGGATGACCCCCCAAGATACATTAGCCACTATAGATAGCTCTGATGACAAGCCACCTCTGTTTCACTCAAGGGATATATTTACCCTTTGATAACTGCAGCCGACACAGCGAGGGTCATGGACACCTGGAGAGCGCACAAGAACAACATGGCTGTGGATGTAGGCTGGGATTCCTGCGGGAAGAACACACTGCTGCTGATTCGCTACACGGCATATGCGGGGTATTGAGGACGGCGGGAGGGGGTGGGGGGAGTAAACCAGCCCTTACACCTGTCACCGTTTTGTTCTACAACAGTAGTTGCAGCTTTCGAACAGAACGAATCCTACAATACACGAACACTGCGTGCAGAGGTAGTTCTCAGCCTGCGACCAGACAGTTAACTTAGTGTCAGTTCACTGTAACTTTGGCGTGTTATGGTGACGTTCTCTGAAGAACGCTAACCACTTTACAGTGAAGTAAGTTCTTTCCAAAATACTCGTACTTCACATCTCATGCTTCCTATTTTACTGAGGCTTGTGAGATAGGCCTATTGGTTGAAGACTTAGTCGGGTTTAGGAAGTCAGACATCGCTAGCACAAACACAAAAAAAGTTGAACTTTTAATAGGGCAAGGAAAGCTTAACTAGGTGCCACGCCAAAAAGACTTCGTTCAATTCAAATTTTAGGAAGTATAGCAAAAAAGGAAGATGAAGTTCTGAGGATCCACCGTACCCACTGCATCGGTTCATCTCGAATCCACAAGACTGCATTTCTCGTGGTGCAACTCAACAGTTTCCGGCTCCCCTTTGAGAGTGTTTATTTTCTTAGGGCCAAACTAAACTGAGGCTGAGCAGTGACGCACCCCATCGGATGCTGCAGATTTAGCTCTACTACTGCGCTGCAGGGCATTTATTTGCAAACTAAAAAAAAAAAATAGTTAGAACTTTCATCGATACGATCAGACCGTTTTCCGTATCACTGCGAAAAAAATATGCGTTTCACGGAGAATTTACTTCAATTTGGTTCGCAGGCAGCCTGCAGCCAAAATTCTTGGCTCTAAGTTTTTAGCACCGGGACTAAAAAATTCACTGAATAGTCTGGGCTAATTTTTTAGCCATCTAGTAAACCGCACAGTTTATTAACTGTGTAGCTAATGCCACTTAGCTCTACACAGCTAAATATTTTTACATCCAGCTAATTTTTTTGCACGGGTGTAAAATTGTGCAGTTAAACCGATTTGCACGGAACTTAATTTTATTTTTCTGCGTGTACTCAACCAAGAGCCACCGGTGCGTGCCGGTGCGAGTCTGAGTGAGCCGGATCGAGCCAGGTGAGAGCGAGGCGAACCGGAGCGCGACGGTTATTAAAAGGTCCAAGATGCCTCGCATCCAATATGTGTTGTGTTTAGGAAGACGGAGATGCACAAGGAAAGGGGCGTAGGGCCCAGACGACTCTGCGGTTCACGAAAACGAAACGTCGCGCAGCAAAGGAAAAATCGACGTTCCTCTACAATAATCGAAATAAATTAACATAAACTGAGAATTCAATATTTGATATTTTACAGAGGCAACAACCGCAAAATGTGCAGTCAAGGTGAAGACGCCGAAAGAATTATGACAGTTCGTAACACATCTTTGACGCGGAAGACACTATTGCCTTTAAGGAGGATTCTAAAGAATTAGTCGAGGACGTTGATGCACAGAGAAAAATGTTTCGTTGCAGCCATCAGTGTTGATACCTCACGACCAAATTTCGTTCGATCTGTTCGGTTTAGTCATAGGAATCAAATTTTTAGTTGCTGTGACCGAAATGTTGGTTGCTGTAACCGAAATGTTGGTTGCTGTAACCAAAAGTTTAGTTTGCTGATACTAAATTTTGATGTCCATGAATAATACGACTAATCGAACAATTTGATGGCTGCAACGAAACATTTCTCTTGGTGTGGAGTGCTTTTTATTCTGCCCAATTATTCTGCATGCACCTTTAAAAGGTGTTGAGTGTTTGAGGTATTCACAAAGGCCTTAAATCTGTTAAATAAGGTAGCACCATATAGGCTTTTTACACAGCTCCTTTACGGACGCAAGCATAAGACGTAAACTATTTTTAGCACGGCTGAGAAGGTGCAACTTGGCAGACATGATTATTCAATAGTGTCACTCATAGGTCACTGCGCTGGATCAGTAGGTTTCAATACGGTGGTCGGAAGAGAGAGGGGACGGGGCAGGGGGCTAGTAAAGCTTGGGCTGATGCAACAGCGGGCCAACCTGCACACACACGCTACTAGGCTGCGCGGGGAGTGGTGTGGTGGTAACGCGAGGCGAATAGACTCGCGTGGCGAACCGGACAACGTTTGGCGCTCAACTGAGCTCCTTGAGGGAGGCGAGGCGCGCGCACAGCTGACTGTTCCGGGCTCGGCTTCGGACCGGCTCGGCGGGGCTCGGCGGGGCTCGGCTGGTTCCTCTCCCCCCCC